AGATAGATTGATAGATAGATAGATAGATAGATAGATAGATAGATAGATAGATAGATAGATAGATAGATAGATAATGATTTTGTGTGTGTGTGTCTGTGTGTAAAAAGGAAATGGGGGGGGGGGAGGATCCAGCTACCAATAGCCTGAGAAGGAAAATCGTCAGGTTAAATTACCCAGGAGAGAAAATCATCTTTTTATCCTGCACATGTAGCAGCCTTGTTAAATTTCAGCCCTTGGAAATGATTTCTCTCTTTTTAAGCTTGTCGTCAGTATCACCCAATTGAGCTGGTGCAGTGCAGTGCATTGCAAAATTGTGTATGTGCAGGTGACAGTTGGGTGCATTTCAGATGCACCAGGCAAAAGGAAGGGAAAGCATTGGGTTTGTTTTGGGGTGTGGATGTTAGCTAGTTGGAGGGTGGAGGGGGAATGACTAGACCATACCGAATATTTTTTCCAGAATTATTTCCACCTTTTTTTAAATTATTTCAGACTTAGAAGTCCTCCTCAATGGGCTTGAGCCAATTAGCTGGTATCCAAGCCTGAAATAAACCTTATACCTTCTCTTTTTGACGGCTTATTGTCTAACCTGCTTTTCTATCTTTTTTTCTTTCTTTCTCTTTTACAAGGATTAACACTTTTTAAGTCCCATCAGTTCACCAAGAGATAAATATAGTTTTTGTGTGTGGTTCAGTTACATTTCCCAGTCCATAACCCAACTGTCTCTTTCTGGTAACTAAAAAGCTAGGCTGCTGATTTCTCTCTGTTATTACCATGTTTCCCCCCAAAATAAGACAGGCTCTTATTTTCTTTTGACCCCTGAAATAAGTGCCTGGCCTTATTTTCGGGGAGGCCTTATTCTTTTTGAGGTGCTGGAGGCGGTGAGTGTGGTCCCCTCATGGCTGCTGCTGTGTTGCAATATTTTCGGGGAGGGCTTATTTTAGCGCATGTGCTCAAAAGCCCGATTGGGCTTATTATCCGGGGAGGTCTTATTTTTGGGGAAACATTTGGTACTCGGCGAGTTCCTTTAAATAAAAGCATCAAAATATTTATAATTCTCTCCACACTGCATCTGCAGCGGGTGTGAATAATTGTGCAAAATAAAATGCAGGCAGCGTTTCCATTGGCAAAAGCTTCTATTTCCCCCCGGATTGTGAACTCATCAACTGTGGGATGTAACACTGCAGTCCCTTAGCATGGAGAAGCAGCCATGCGTGTCCTTTCAGACAACTCCTGACACGCAAGCGTCCCATTGTCTTTTTCTAATTTCCAGCATCTCTGGTCATTTTGCTGGGTTATGTCTGGCGTTTAGAACCATGATTTATATTTAAGATCACACGCGTTAATGCAGTGTGCCGGTAACTTCATTATTCTGAAAATAAAATCAAGAGAAAGAGCTTTAGGCAAGCAAGGAAACCAGTCTGGCTGCCTTGGGTGTTCTTGAACCTCTTGTCTGAAATGGTATAGATTTTCCTGCCTAAGCAGGGGTTGGACTAGAAGACCTCCAAGGTCCCTTCCAACTCTGTTATTCTGCTCTGTTCTATTCCAGTTTTCTTTTCTGTTCTATTCCAGTTTTCTTTTCTGTTCTATTCTATGTTTCTGTTTCTATTCCATTCCATTCCATTCTATTGTTCTATTCTATTCTGTTTTTTCTATTCTCTATATTTTCTATTCCATTCTATTCCGCTCATTCTATTATTCTATTCTCTGTATCTTCCGTCCCATTCCATTCCATTCATTCTATTATTCTATTCTATTCTACTCTCTATATTTTTTATTCTATTCTATTCCATTCATTCTATTATTCTATTCCATTCCATTCTATTTTCCATTCTATTCCATTCCGTTCCATTCATTCTATTATTCTATTCTATTCTTTTCTATTCTGTTCATCCTATTGTTCTGTTCTGTTCTTACATTTTCTATTCCATTCCGTTCTACTGCGTTCTGTTCTGTTCTATTAACCATTCAGTGTATATTTTATTTTGATTTTATTGGTCACATTTTGCAACCACCCATCTCCCTCGCAGAAGGACTCCGGGTACTGGGCAATCAAATATTAAAACATCAAAACAGTATATAAAATTTAAAGTTAATGGGACGTGCTAAAGCGGTTTTAGGTCAAATAGACGAAGCTCGTAGCCTTCATCTCTTCTGATACTGGTCCTTCCTTCCTCTTCTCTTTCACAGTATTGCAACGGTGGAGACCTAGCAGATTACTTGCAAGGTAACAGTTTCCTACTCTGCCTTCAGCCCTTTAACAGGAGAAATTTCCTGATGGTGGGAACCATTAATCCGTGGAATGACTTGCCTCCAGAAGTTGTGGGTGCTCAGGTTTTTAGAAAAGGGATTGGACAACCATTTGTCTGAAATGGCATAAGGTTTCCTGCTTGAGTAGGGGGTTGGAATAGAAGACCTCCATGGTCCCTTCCAACTCTGTTATTTCGTTATTCTTTAGGGGTCCCCTTTTGCTTGTGTATAGCAGAGGATATTCTGCTCTTGATGTTTTTAGCATGCTCCTCTCAAGCTACCGCTAGAAGAAGTATTTTGAACTCAGGAATGAGCTGTGGGGTCCTTGTTGCTCTCTGAGTTCCGTTGTTTGTTTGGAGACATTTCACAACCCAACTAGGTAACAACATCAGTGCTAGAAGGGAGAGCGGGGTTACTTTCTGTTTATGTACAACTGGCTTGCCCTGTCAGAGTTGATGGGAGTGTTTTGGTGGTTCCTTCATTAGGCTGTGGTTTACTGTTCGTTTGCCTATCTGAGTTGGTAATTCCTTTGTTGGGGTAAACAGAGAGCCAACCCTTCTAGCACTGATGATGTCACCTAGTTGGGTCTTGAAATGTCTGGGAGAAAACACCCAAGCTCAGAGGGTACCAGTGATTCCTGATCCCAGGCCTACCAGAAGGAATGAAGTTAAATGTCAGGGTTCCCATGGACTTGCGGGTGTGGGGGCAAGATCTTGAACTTTCAACTGGGTGGGGAAAACCAGGAAGCTTTCAGATTCAGGTTTAGCAGTAGACTTTAGCAGTAGACTTATATACCGCTTCATAGGCCTTTCAGGCCTCTCTAAGCGGTTTACAGAGAGTCAGCATATTGCCCCCAACAATCTGGGTCCTCATTTTACCCACCTCGGAAGGATGGAAGGCTGAGTCAACCCTGAGCCGGTGAGATTTGAACCGCTGAACTGCTGATCTAGCAGTAGCCTGCAGTGCTGCATTTAACCACTGCGCCACCTTGGCTACATATATGTATGTATGTATGTATGTATGTATGTATGTATGT